GCTCCCCTGCTAAAAGTTTGTTTAACTTTTAGTGGTTTAGTACGGAAAACCCATTAGTTGGCAAAAAGTTAAAGTCCTAACATCCAAGCAAAATGCACCAAAGACAGGGTACCCTCAAAATCAGACACACCCACTTGCCATCAAGGGCCATGCTTGGCAGCGCAACGCGTCGCTTCTGCGGACGAGTCCGCCCGGACCGACACTGAAAGGGCAACATCCCCCACTCCTCACGGCACCTCCGACGCACATCCTTGTCCTGATGAAACGGATCCATCCTGCGAGCTGCCAGCCGAGGAAACCATGGAAATCTAGAAAACGGGTTGGATGTGGCTTGTGTGGATCCACCCATGTAGGATAATAAAAGAGTACTAAAAGAGTACTAAAAAAGAACCTACACAGGAAAGAACTGGCGAAATCCACAAAAAGCGCATTCAAACTGTTGTCCAGGGGAAAGCACAAGCTAGCTCGGGCTTGAAGATGCTGAGAATGGGATAGATAAGCACACGCATCCCCCCACCCACACACACACGAGGCGTATGCATGAATGATCATGAATATATGCATATCAGTTTTCCTGGAAGGTTATTCACATCCTCAAGCTACTGAGCATCAGTCGATTGCATCCGAGCGGCCAATTCTGAATGATCTGGGGCTTTTGCCTTGCAACGGGGCAGCCGGCCGCAAATGGCAAAATCCCGGCGCAAGGGAAACTAAAAGGTTGCTGAACGATAGTGGCTTAAGCATGGACTCCATTTGCTTAAGTCCCCTGGAAAAACATGTGTGTTTAAAAAGAATGTCCCGTAGTGATAGATTCCCTTTAAAACCAACAAGGGAAAAAAAAAAACTATTCGTAACCAAATGGAAGATGGTACCCGCGCCTATAGGGGCCTCTGCGTTTTGGCACCTGGGAACGGCCGTCGCATAAAACCCTCGAAAAAGGCCCATGCTGCAATGACTTACAGGAGGAAACTGCCAAAATCACAGGGGGCCCTGCAGGCGGGTACCTTAAACATGTCGGACTGACCGAATTCGCATGACTCCAACCCCGCGCGCGGCCCACGAAGTCTCGCCTCTGCGTCAACAGCTCCCTGAGCAGCGAGATGTCTACATCGCAGAGGCCGATGGCCCGAACGCGGTTTTCTCGCTGCAGCTCCTCGAGATCACGAATCCCCCAGTTCCAAACTCCAGCGTGGGGTGTGTTGGGTGGCGGTTTTCCTGTTAAAGGCTTAGGCCTCGTTGATGGCTTCGGTTTGGAGGTGAAAGCGTTTGGCTGGCGCTGTTTTTCTCTCTGGCAACATCCCCAGCATCACCTCAGCAGCACCAGGCTGGGTGCTCAGTTCCTGGGGCTCTCCTCACTGGCCGCATCCCCAGCACCACCGGCCTCGCTTTCCACCCACCCACCCACCCACCCACCCACCCATCCAACCAACCAACCAACCAACCAACCACCCAACCACCCAACCACCCAACCACCCACCCAACCACCCCACTCATCTCACTCAACCTCACGACCCCACCCACCCCCCCCCCCGCCCCACCCCACCACCTCGCCTCCAGCGCTTGCCAGCTGTCCCGCCAGCTTCCCGCCGGCTCCGAAGCGCACGCGCCCGGCCAGCAGTAGGGCTTGTGCAGCCTGGGCGCGATGGGGCGCCCGTGGGACGGAAACCCATCATTTCGGGGTCCAAAAATGAACCATATGGCTGTGGTTGTCAAAAATAGGGTAACCCCAAAATGGCTTGCCCTGGTAAATGGAACCAAGGACTAAAACCTGCGGTCCCCTGGTGGTTTGATTTTGACCCATACCCATGGAGCCTCTGGACATGTTGGTTCCCGTGTCCCTTTTTTGCTTTTCCAAATTGCGGCAACATGTAACTGGGCACTGCCAAATTTTGTTCGGGCAACTGCAAAAATGGGTGGCTTTCATTCGGTGTCTCTTCAACTGCCACCAAGGGAATTTCAGGGCACGCGCACATTGGCGCTTTCCTCCGGACAAACTGACTCAAGCCGGCGCCTGAAAAAAATGCCTGGAAAGGTGATTCACTTGGACAGTTGGCTGTCCAGAACCCTCTTGGATGTGAAGGGTGCCGTTTTCGGGGTTGCTGTGCGCCGCCCTCAAGCGGCGTCGAAAAGAGATCCCGAAGGCTTTCACTTCGGGGCCAGGCGGCAGCATGGAGTCCAGGTACTCCGTCTTCAGCCTTCTCAGCGACACCTCGAAGGCCCTGAGCGTGGATCGATGGCCCAGGTCCTCTGGGTGGATCTTGCCTCAGTCCGTGCCGTGCCATTTGAAGCCCTGGTGTGAAGCCAGGTGGCCTTGAAATGTGCCGAAGTTGGTTGGACATGCGAGCCCATCATGACCCTACGGGGCAGGCGGCCGCTTGACGTGCTTTGTCTTGGCAGCACTCAGATACGTCTGACCACCCAAGCTTGCGAGCATGCTAGAGATATGCTAATGCTGGCTTGGCCGCTTTGCAAGAATAGCTCCTTGGCTGGACATGTCAGGGACCTTTCCAAACCTACGCCCATCAAACAGTCCAAGTGATCACCTGGACGTCAAAGGCTACCATTTATCACCCTTTGGGCAAACTGGGGAGGTCCCACCCAATGGATGCCCCCAAAGGTCAACCCTGTTCTGTCCAGCCAGGGCGCCTCTCTGGGGATGTGGCTCTCCTGCACGGCCAGGCCCACGTCATCCTCGTTGTAGCCCCACCTCACCACCCCACAAAGGCTCATGAGCCACCAATTACTTTGGGAGCCGATTGAATCGGCGTCATGCCGGTTTCGGGCTGTTGCTTGAAAGAGTGCTTGGTTGCTGAACTCTTGGGTCATTCCTGGTTGAAAAGTTCCGGGGCAACTTGCTTTGGAACACCCAGCTCTGAAGTCACCGGTGATTCAGATTGCCTCTTCGTGCTAGAGCACGAAGAATAGTGACTGGTCAACGTTTGCGCAGGAAAACATGTGGATATGCTTGCCCCGTATATGCTTGCTCTGTTGAGTCAAATCAAAAAGCAAACTCATGGCTGCCAACAACAAGGATGCGCCTCCCCCCCCAAGAGAAAAGCAGTGAAATAGGAACAGAATTGTTAACCTTTGCCCATTGGTCGCGACCCAAATCGAAGGCGAGAAAACAGCAAACAAAAACTGCCAGGAGCCAAAAAAAGAACAAGCACCGGCATTAAAGTGACATCCTCAAGATTGCCCCTGAAAGTGTGTAGTTTCCACGCAAACCCCAATGTTGAGACCCCCTCTAAAAGCAGCCCCGACAGAATTCCCCTCCTCCCACGGAACCAGTTCCCGCCGCGCCGCTGGAACGCCTGCGCGGTGTCCAGGTGCCGATAGCCCAGGGCCAAAGCCGAACTCACGTGGTCCCGCCTGTCCGGGAGAGATTTGACACGGACGGCGAACGGTCCAGCTTGTGACCACCTGGATCGCCAGTTGCTGCTTTTTTTCCATGCACTTAACCCAAAAACCCAGCAGCAGCTTCAGCCAGAAGGCAGAGAAATACAAATGAGTCGCAAAGGAGTTACGTGTTCCAAATCCACTTTCCTCGGGTCGCCGCAAAATAGACGCTAACTGTCCATGGCACGGGCGGGTTTTGTCGGCCGTTAGGGACCCATTGGGGCAGCGGGCTAGGAATCCCAGCAGATCCCAAGCGGAGCCCGGAGCAGGGAAGCCCCGAACTCGAGATTCAGCAGGGATCTGGGGTTGCACTGCATGTTGCAAGTTGGTTGCTTCTCTTCTGTGCTTCCAGGGACAAGAAGCAAAGAAAAGAGCATCGCAACAGCGCGAAGATATGGTGAACCGAACTTGGCAAGAGCACCTGGTCCAAAACGCTCGTGCATCAACTCTCTTTCCGGCCTGACGCCGCTGGCACAGCCCAGCCCCAGCAGAGGGAACCTCGGCTACTCATTCATCGAAGATGCTGCTCGAGGCATGTGAGGCCTTGCCCGGGTATTTCTGGGGCAAGGTGGGTGAACAAAAGCATGTGAGGCCAGCCCAACAACACCTCATTTCGCTGCCAAGATCTCGAGCATAGCAACCTGAAACAAACAGCTGGAACGTGTCTTGAGACCCGAAGTTGGACCACCAATGCCAAACTTCGCCCCGCGATCTGCCCATGGCGCGCACTGAAAGCTGGGGAGAAGCCGATTCCTCAGGGCTCGCATGCCACTCTTCACCTCCAGCATCGCCTCAAAGGGAAACTCGCGTGTAAAGCGTGTTGCAGCCCCTCCAGCCCTCAGCCTCACAAGGGCCCTTTTTGCTGCTGTACTTGGGGGCCCCAGGGCGAACAACCTTTGCCCAGGCCCTCTTTCCCCCCACGCCGCGACTTGCGGCCAGCGGCGGGCGGCCGTTGCTCAGCGTGACCACTGGCACAGACGCCTCGCGAAGCGCGTCTGGTGGCAGGGGTTGAATCAGACTTGGCCACAGCAAATGACGGAGAAATCCCAGAGGTCCCTGGATTTCTCCTGCCAAACTCAATCAATTCACTAGAAACGATCGCCACTTTTGGAGCGAACCCGAAAAAAAACATGGCTCCGAAACCCTGCCTGAGGCAGTGTCTAAGCGGTTTCCCACGCTGCCTTTGGTTTTGCCGAGGCTCCTCAGCCACAGCCATCAGCAACAGCGCAGCCATGGCTCAGACAGCCAGGGCTGTGGCGCGGGGCTGTGGGGGTTCGCATCTGGGTTTTTTGGTGAGTAGCATTTGCTGGTAAGGAAAAAAAACACGGCTTCGCAATGCAAAACGAAGGGCATATAGCATCCGCGCACACATGCGCATGTACGTCTGCATCATGCTTGCGAACTCGTTTTACGTAAGCTTGTGATATGTGTAGCTGCGCCGCAGCAGGGGGGCGGGCTCTCAAAAATGATCGTCCACTGAAATGGGACAGGCCAGGTCAACCCGGTAACCTCAACAAAGACGAATAAAGACTGAGGCTGGCGGGGGAAACGCGCGACCCTCAACGCTTGCAGCGGTAGTTCGGTCTACATTCACACCAAGGGACTTTGCCGCCCTCAGACTCCAGGCGCGTCTCCATGTGGTGCTTCAGCCTCTCCACTGCCTTTGACAATCCCAAGCACCGGTTGGTTTTAAAGGGAAACCAAAAGGAAGCCATGGGGTGTAAAACCATTTTGGGGACCATGTTGAGCCAACTAGGATGTGGTCCACTTCGCAACAGTTGGGATGGGTGGTGACACCTTATCTGATTGCTGGGACAAACCGCCTAACAACTGCTGCGAGCCTGCCTCCTTCCACAAGACATGGTGACCTTTCCACCCAACCATGCAAAAAACCTGCCAAGGCGAAGGGGGACTTTTCGGGCCTCCCCTTCGAGGCCCATTTTGCATGTTGCCGCCAAACAAAATCGAAGTTCGAAGAAAGCCGAACCTCGATACTAGCGTCCTCTCTGGCTTCAAATCGGATCAGGCCATTGCGGCAACAACACAAAGAACAGCTGCCAGGTTGGGCCACCCGAAAAGCAAGGACAAACCAGCAACCCAAATTACTGGGGAATTGCATTCGGTTGGCTATGTATCAACAGGCTATACAAGGGCTAGATAAGGCTTGGAGCCATTTCGGGCACACCCGACAAGGGTGCACTGACAATGGTCATTGATTCGCTCCTGGAGACACATGCTTGGACCGGGACTACTCAAACCCGAGTTGACTGACACGGGGTGCCCCATTTTCGAGCGGAATTGGATCGTTTGGGGGGGGGGGGGGTTCGTGGGTTCATGTTGACCCCGGATTAATAAACTCGTCCCATTATTAGCGGGGTGTTCCCTCCAAAAGTGGCCCCCCCTATGAATCAACCAGGGTTTATTAATCCAGGGTGAACATTACAAGGGATGGACGAGATGGAAAAACTGCGCCAGGCCGCCGCCGCCGCGAACCGCAGGCCGCACTTCACGATGATGCCCACCAGGACGACTGAGATGCGAAGTCGCGGCCGGGGAAAGAAACCGGAACAAGAGGGTGCACAACAACTTGTCGTCAATGGGGGGTTCTTTTGTTGGTGCCACAACCTCTCTCCGGCCCCGGTGGTACACAACCTCGGGCTTGCAGGTCACAACTCGCGCTTGAGCTTGCCCGCCCGTCAACGACCTGCTGGATGAAAAAAGGAATGCGAGCGTTCAGCAGCTGGTATGCTGAGAACTCACTGCGAACAACTTGGTTGCTACTGACCCCCTGCAAAAAGTTTAACTTTTTGGGGGTTTAGTGGAAGACACCTTTATTTCCCAAAAAGTTAAAGTCTAAAGATCCAACCCAATAGCAGTCAAGACAAGGGAAGAGTAGAGTGCGTTGGTCCAGATCCAGCGCCGCCTAACTTCCGAACCGCGACGGGTTGCACGTCCCAAGAAACTGGTCCATGGGGCGTTTGGCCTGTGGCCGTGAAACTGGGGGGGCCCTGGACGGCCCCAAAAAGGCAATGGGTCACCCACCTCAGACATCCCAGAGTTCCCTTCAGACAGCCTAAGGTAAGCAAAGAGTACCCCTCCTTTTTGATCTATGGCTGGGCAATTCCCCTTGGAACCCAAATAGGGGCCGAAAGGAGATTCCTCTAGCAATGATTGTTGTTGGAGCTCTATGTCAATCAGGATTGATGATTCCCCACTAAAGCACCCCGCCCCCCCCCCCCAAAAAAAAAAAAAGCACTGAAAGTATTCCCCCCTAACCCCCCCCGCCCCCCCCCCCCGCCTAACCAAAAGAAACAACGGAAAAAAAAAAAAAAAAAAAAAAAAAAAAAAAACAGCCACACAAACTATTAGCCCACTGGGGTTGAGCTTCATCTGGGGTCCGCAATGAGACAGACAAGAAACCCTGCGCCTGCAGAGTCGTGGCCCTCGATGAGGCTCCGCTTGGCCGCGATGCGCCCTGTCCGTCCGGCTCAACTTTGGCGGATGGGTATCCGATTTGGACCTCCGGGAAAGACCAAACTTCAGGAGGTCAGGAAAGGGTCATGGAACCTTTCTTAGGGGGTCTTAGGGCATTTTTTTGAGCCACTCTCCTACAATCACAGTGCGCAGGAGGGTCTCGGAAGACTACCATCATCTTGGAAGACTACCATCATCTTTGGCGGCTTTGGCACGCTGTTTCGGGCACTGACATGGCCTTTCTTTGTGGCCAAAAAACACATTTCCGTTGAGGGGGTCCTTTCCATGGCGCCCACTCAATGGACGGCGCCCAAGCCAGCGGGGCCCCAGCGCTCCTGCTTCCTGTTCCGTTGCCGCCCCAGGGCCGCCCTTGGCCATGATCAGCCAGTCACCTGGCCATGGGTCAAAACCCCGTGCCCCCAGTGAACATCCCAATCCCCATAAAAATAGACTAAAATGGGTGGTGCACCCTTCCCAAAAAGGCACCATTGGTTTTGAACCATGGTCACCTGCAAGTTGCCCCATGAACACAACTGCGCTGTCTGTGAGCTCTGCTCCAAGTGACTTACTGGTCCATTGGTGGGATGGAAACCCAAGCTCTAAACTCTAAACCTGACTTTCTGTTGGTGGGTGGGATGGAAACCTAACCTCCAAACCCAAAAAGCTAAAAAGCTCAGGAGGGCTGGGAACCACCAAGAGCACTTCCCATTCCTGCATGTGGCTGTGGGTGTCCTTTGTTTGGGTGGACACTCAAACTGGCCTCGGGTGTCCTTTTGATCTCCCTTTAAAACTACCCAAAAAAAAAAAAGGAAGAAAAAAAAGAAGAAAGAAAGAAAAGGAAAAAAAAGGAAGAAGGAAAAAAAAAGAGGGGAAAAAAACCACAAAAGCAAATGCGCCAGTAATCAACCCACCACTTGCTCGTTGTTTCTTCTGGGGCGCGCTTCGCCTGACGCTACCAGCTTGTACCAGCCATTCTCCCAGGACCCAAAACTCCAAAACCCCAGCACCACGCAGCAAAACAGCCGCGCCACACCTAGGAAGAAGAGAAAAACTTGGGGTTGCAGGACCCCCCCCCCCAAAAAAAAAAAGGGGGGGGGGGTCTTCATCAAGGCCGCCCACATCGAGTGGGGCGCGCCCCACCTTCGAAGTCCGCAGCCGCCTCTGCAGCTGCCGCCGCCTCCCCGGCCACCTGAAGCGAGCCCTGGCTCGAGCCCTGGGCGGCCCGTGCCCGTTTTCAGATCCCCCGCGAAGAGTGGCGAGCTTTCGGTGGGTGAAATGCGGAAACCCAACCACTAAACCAGCTAAAAAGCCAAAAAGCCAAAAAGCTAGGGGACCGGATGGCGGTGCAATAGGAAGGGAATGAGAAATGGAATGACCCCTGCAAACCATCCAGTTCCTATGGTTTCCTTTGAGGGAATCCCTAAGTTTATTCCCTCATTCCCTACTGAGCACCAGCAAGAAAAGAAGATTGGGGCTTTCCCGTTAGCGTCTCTTCAAAACCGACCAAGAAGGGGTATTTTATTGAAAAACAAAACAGACCCCCAAGTGGAGCTGAGATTGAGGGGGGGAGATCAAGCCTAATGCCTCTCCTCATTCTCGCTCCTTATTCCCGAAAGGAAACCTTGGATGGATACCTTGCCAGGCGATTCCGAACATGGCCCTTGCACCAAACATCAGTACCTGTTCAAACATCGAGGGGGCAAAGCTCTGCCAGCTCCTTGCCAGGGCATGGAGCCCTCAGCTTGACTTGTTGAGGCTCAAGCCTCAACGCTTTCATGGCAGCGGGCCCTTCGAACACTTCATGAAAATAAATGGCAAATGTCGCTGCCGGTCGGAATAAATCATTCGAGTCACAGTCGCGTTGCCGAGCCTATGGCCTCACAGCCCCATAGCTTGAAAATGGATTTCCAAGAGGAACCACCAGGTCAACTCGCAGACCTGGTAGCTCCGAAAGGCTCCCATTCATCAAAATTGGAAGGGCCACAGCTCCGGAACGGCTCCCATCCAACCACTAGCTAGGGAACCAATGAGCTCTCCGGGCTTCTTGTTGCCAAAATTATGCGAGGCTGAAGCACGAGACGAGACGTGACTCTGAACGCGGCGATGTTGGCCGCCGGATTCTTGATCCAGGCCCCTCAAAGGGCCCATTTGTTGTTGTGCTTAGGATCTTCTTGACCAAAAAAAAAAAAGGAGAAAAGAAAATGAAAAAAAAATAAAAAAAACGGCTCGCACACCTGCAGGACCCCTTTTTTTTGCGTGCCCCACCTTGATGGCCATTTCCAGGTGCATCTGGGCCTGATCCACCCAAAATCGGTGCAAGAAAAGACGGGCCCCCACATCCACAACTGGCCCCAGTGGTCTGGTAGGTTCAATTGACCCCAGCTTGTCCGGAAAGACTCAGAACCCAACCCCAAATCAAGGGTTGTTTGGAGGTTCGGGAGCTTCTCTAAGGGGTCCCCAAACCAACGCCAGCTGCTCCAAACAAACCAAAGCAAAATAATAATTGTTTAAAAAGAAAAAAGAAAAGCAAAAAGAAGACAAAACAAACGGGAGACTGGTTTCCATCTAGGCTCTTTTTTTAGGCCAACCCACTTTCTGGGCACCAGGCCTCAAAACAAGACACTCACGGGACATAGGCGCGGGAAACGCCGCCTGCTTCGCTTTCAGCTCCTCCACCGTGTGGGAGCCTTCCTTGAGCTCCTCACGTCGAGCCACGTCACCCCGGATCAAAGGATCAAACCCGTCCTATCAACCCACTTTCTAGGATTGGCAAAAAAAAGAGGAAAAACATGCGTTTGTGTTCCACTAAACTTGTCCAAGGCCAAAAGTATAAGTAAAGTCCCAAAAGCTCCTGTAGAATTGAGTTTATCTGTGGCCCCTACAGATTCACATGGAACCCAAACACCAGGCATGTGTTTCAGAGGAATCTCCTTTTGCGAGACCCTTTTTTCAGGCTCCGTTTTTTTGTTTTTAAGGGTCCATATTTAATTAAACACAAAAAACTATTCAGGGGTTGATTGCAAGTTACCGCGGAACACCCTTCGACATGCTTGGCCAACCCGACCTTGCCCAAAGGGTCCCCAACCAGTCATGCCCACTGCGGCCCGGGAGCCCAGACAAATGCGTCAAGCGAGTTCTCCCCCGAATGGGGCCGCCGCATGCCGCAGCAATGGCCTTGACGTGGTCCAGCTGTCGAAAGAAGTTAAGGATCGTTCATGTTTCGTTCAATCCATTTTCAGAACATGTAGGCACCCTGTTCTAATTCCACCGCTTTCAGAAAGCAATCTGCAGGGAAAAGGTTCCAGCGCATGAGCAGGTGTCCTCGGAAGGCTCGTTGTCCTCTGTCCTGGGATTCCCCCCCACATTTCAGCCAACTGGGGGGGAGGGGGGGGGTTTGAAACTTCCGGCTGTAGCCCAAAGCAGCCCACCCAGCCCACCCAACGTGCTGACCACCCAACGTTCTTATTTGACCTTTTGTTTTTTTGGTCTTTGTCAAGGTCAAGGCCCCCCAGAAAAAGGTGCCGCAACCAGTGGAAGTTTGGTTGAGTGGATTTCTGAGGAAACTCATAGTTGAAATGGCAACCTTTTGGGGTTGCCATCACCCAAAGGAAGTATGTGGGTCCACCAAAAAAAGAGGAAACTCCTAGTTGAAATGGCAAAGTTGTTGGGCTTGTCACCAAAAGGAAGCATGTGTCTCCACCAGCAAAAAAAAGAGGAAACTCCTAGTTCAAATGGCAAAGTTTTTGGGCTTGTCACCAAAAGGAAGCATGTGGGTTGTCTCCACCAACAACAAAAAGGAGAGGAACTCCTAGTTGAAATGGCAAAGTTTTTGGGCTCGTCACCAAAAGGAAGCATGTGGGTTGTCTCCACCAACAAAAACAAGAGAGGAACTCCTAGTTGAAATGGCAAAGTTTTGGGTTTGTCACCAAAAGGAAGTATGTGGGTTATCTCCACCAACAAAAAAAAGAGAGGAACTCCTAGTTGAAATGGCAAAGTTTTGGGTTTGTCACCAAAAGGAAGCATGTGGGTTGTCTCCACCAACAAAAAAAAGAGAGGAACTCCTGGTTGAAATGGCAAAGTTCTTGGGCTTGTCACTAAAAGGAAGCATGTGGGTTGTCTCCACCAAAAAAAAGAGAGGAAACTCCTAGTTCAAATGGCAAAGTTTTGGGTTTGTCACCAAAAGGAAGCATGTGGGTTGTCTCCACCAACAAAAAAAAGAGAGGAACTCCTAGTTGAAATGGCAAAGTTTTTGGGCTTGTCACCAAAAAGGAAGCATGTGGGTTGTCTCCACCAACAAAAAGAAAGAGGAACTCCTAGTTGAAATGTCAAAGTTTTTGGGCTTGTCACCAAAAGGAAGCATGTGGGTTGTCTCCACCAAAAAACAAAACAAAAAATAACGGAAAAGGAAAAAGCAAAGCGTAATTTGCCTTGGCTTCCTGTGGGTTGATCCTTGAGCCTTCCCAAGAAAACCACGAAAGTTTGTAACCACTCCCGCCCCTACCCTCGCACACACACCCAATCTCCCCTCCCCCCTCCTTTACAAGTATCAATGTTCAAGAACATATCTCTCTCTCTCTCTCCCTCTCTCTCTCTCCCTCTCTCTCTCTCTCTCCCTCTCTCTCTCTCTCCCTCCCTCTCTCCCTCTCTCTCTCTCTCTCTCTCTCTCTCTCTCTCTCTCTCTCTCTCTCCCCCCTCCAGTTGCTACTACAATTCGTGACCAGGATGCAAAACAGAGGTACTGTGGATGGACGAAATCGTGCACCACCTAAGAAACCCTCGAACGATTGGCCTGCAAATGCCAACAAACCATGGTTTCAACCTTGGTTTCAAAGTGGCGCGAGCGGATTTCGCGACCATCCGCAGTATCTTTGGACAATCCGCCAAATAAACTGGTCAACAAGGCCAGTAAGGCTGCAAAACGGAGGTATCACTACCGAAGGCCGACCTTCAGCCTGGAGCCACATCTCTCCGCTGGTCGCCAGGCGGCGCCTTGCGCAGCTCCTCCTCCTCCCGGCACCGGAGCTCACGGCCCAGCAGCGCCTCGCGGCGGAAGTGGGCGCGGCGCCCCTCGAAAACGCCCCAGGCTTTTGGGCGTGGGTGGGCGTGTGTGTGTGTGTGTGTGTTGCCGGTTTGCTTCGACATTCATCTTCTTGCAAGCATGTCTATACATACTTATATATGTGTATATGTATGTATACATCTTCTACTTTTGCGCTCAAGGCCCTGCTTGCATACTCTCACAGCCATCAGCTAGGACTGGGGAAAGAGAGCAATAGCTGCTTGGATGTAGACCAGGACATCATATGGCCAGGACACATCCTTCCTCAACGTCCATCACTTGATACCTCCATATCAAGTCTGAGATAGATGCAGGGACTGAGTGAACCATGACAAGAATGGGCTTTTTGTTCGGGGTGAGCCCCCGAACACGACACGGCCACGGGGCGGGGGCCACGGGGCGGGGGTGTCATTTTCGGCCAATCCCAGGTGACTGGTCAAGGCCAATGGGAAGGCAGCGCCAGGGGCCCAAGCCCACCATGGCAAGCGGGCATATGGAAAAGCAGCATGCAAAAGCACCCCCGCAGCCCGAGCGGGCTCGCGGATGGAAAGGCAGCTGTCCCAATGACTTCAAACTGGGGTGTGGCAAGCCCAACCCACCAGTCCCACCAGCCCCTTAAGTTGCATGCATCTCAGTGTCCATCAAGCCTTCGGCAGAAAAAGAAAAGCAGGGCCGCAGTCTCCCGCGTGATTACCGCATCAAAATCCGAAACCAGTGGCGACCTAGGCTTGGCCATGAGGCACAAGGTATTACATGACCCTTGGCCAAGCAAGCATGAGAAGGACAGAGATTCTTTCCCTGATTGGCGCCAGCCTTGCGCCATGCAAAAAGAACCTGCTCGTTCATGAGGTGTTTGAATTTGTGGTCCTCTCATCTGAAGGGCCAGTTGCCCACTGCTTGCGGAGCTTCCGTTTTCTCCCGGCTTCAAGGGCCGGGATGTCGCCATGGCGAGATCTCCGGAGGCGGTATGATCCTACTACAGACGCTTGGGTCGAGGCCGGCAGGCGTTGGCCGGCATGGTGTGCCAATGGAACTTCTCGCAAGCCCAGCTGGCGCAGCGGCTCAATGCGTGAAATCGTGGAAGCAAAATCTGGCGATGGCAAAACGGAACATAATGATAGCAAAAAAGCAACGACGTCGAGACCTACAAAGAATGATAAATCAAGGAGGAGGAATGGAGGAAGCGAGGCAAGGCAAGGAGGAAAAGAGGAAAGGAGGAAAGGAGGAAAGGAAGAAAGGAGGAAAGGAGGCAAGGAGGAAAGGAGGCAAGGAGGCAAGGAGGAAAGGAGGAAAGGAGGAAAGGAGGAAAGGAGGAAAGGAGGAAAGGAGGAAAGGAGGAAAGGAGGAAAGGCGGCAAAGAAAGCAATAAAGACGGTAAACCTAAACTTGTAACAACAAGAAGTACCGCGCCTCGGCCTGCCCGAAACCCTCGGGCGTCTGCACCGGCGGCGTCAGAAGCAAAAACCTGAGGAGCCCGGAAACTTGAGGCAACACGGGCCAAAGAACCTAGGAAAAATGCATTCAGTCGCCGAGCAACCAAGTACACAAGCAAACAACCACTGAACATATACCAACAGGCAAACCATGCAAACAAAAGCCGGCCAGCCATCCAGCCCGCCAACCAACAGCCTGCCCGACCAACCAACCAACCAACCAACCAACCAACCAACCAACCAACCAACCAACCAACCAACCAACCAAGCAAGCAAGCAAGCAAGCAAGCAAGCAAGCCACCAGCCAGCTAAGCAGGCCAACCGACCAAGCAAGCAAGCAAGCAAGCAAGCAAGCAAGCAAGCAAGCAAGCAAGCAAGCAAGCAAGCAAGCAAGCAAGCAAGCAAGCAAGCAAGCAAGCAGCAAGCAAGCAAGCAGCCAAGCACCAAGCCAACCAACCAACCAACCAGAAAACTATCCGAACAAGCAACAACCAACAGGGAGCCTGATTGCAGGAAAACCAAGGTTTTAGAATGGAAATTGTCAGAGCCCCCAAGAAACTTACTGGGTCCATCTTGCAAGGCGGGCCTCCGTCCCAGATTGACAGTGCCCAAAACCTTCTTCTGCGAAGGCCTCATTCTTTGTCTAGCTGTACATTGGCTATGCAACATGGCCATTGGCGCTTGACAAGGACTCCTGGCATCTCTCAATTGCTCGCTCGAAGCTCATTCAGCATGAGGCTGCTCCAATCAGGCAGTCGGAGGGGAAAAAAAAAAGGACAGGCCAATGCCAAGCCACGTCTTTGCCATCTCCTGCAGTCGCTGCACCGCATAGAGCGTCTGAATCAAACTCTCCGCCTCCTCTTGCGCGTCGCTGTCGCCTGCCCGTGGCATGGGGCAAAGTCATGGATTTGCCCGAGGTGATGTTGACCCCATTTTGATCAACCCCAGTTTATTAATAGGGGGGTGTCCAATTCAGGGCTTAGTGGGGGAATCCTTCAGGAAACCGCCCCCTAATACTAAACTGAAGTAACTGAAGTTGGTCAATACGGGGGTCAACATTAGCAGATATCCAAGCCCGAGCAGCTCTGCCGCAGACCAAGAAGTGCCCGACAAAAGCACACCACCACGACAGCGCAGCCAGCAGCAATGGCGGCAGTGACTACGATGGCAAAAGCGCGGCCCATCTTGCAATTCCCCACTCCCGCCTCGACCAATAAGGTCGCTGGCCTCTTCCATGCCTGCAGCTTGCATTCGGCCAAGCGCAATGCAAAGGGGTGAGAGCCGTGTCGACTTAGATTCACGGGGTGCCTCCCTTTCAAAACGGAAACAGCTACTTCGGCATTGACATGTCCCAGGCCCGAGACGACGATCAACTAAACCCCCCGGCCAGATTTTGCGGCTTGGGTGCTTCCGGTTGCTTCAGCTTTTGGAGGGCGGGAAACCACTTGGAAGCCCCAGCTTCGGCAGTTGCATGCGCCCCAACACCCAATTTTCAACACACCGTGGCAACCTGGGTTCGACCGGCTGCGAAATTCAAAACCCCGCCGAAAAACGAGAGATGCCAAAGCCGAAACCCTGCATATCCCCAACTCGAGATGTTGAAGCTTAACAGGCCAGCCCAATGAAAGCCCCTCAGGCCAATTGAGGCCGGGGACATCCGGGGACGTTCACTTTGCTCGCCCCATCCTCTGAGAGGACTGCCGGGTCGACCTCAAGAAACTGGTGTGTGTTGTTTGGCTTTACGTTCTCCAGCTTGCACAACAATCAAAAGGTGAACCCTCAAGATCTTGGTGGGTCAACCCTAAAAGAAATCGTGGGCTAGAGTTACAGGGAGAGAAAGAGAGAGGAAGAGAGAAAGAGAAAGGAGACAAGAGACAAGAGAGAAAAGAGAAAAAAGAGAAAAGATAAAAAAAAAGAGAGAGAAACCGAGAAAGAGGTGGAGGAAGGGGAAGGGGCACAGAGAGAGAGAGAGAGCAAAAATAAAAAAATAAAGAAAGAGAGACACAGAGAACCAGAAAGAGAAAGAGCAAGAAAAAAAGAAAAGAGAGAAAGTGGGAAGGCAACAAGGAAGAGAAAGAGGAGGAAAAAGAGAGAGCGAGAGAAAGAGAAGAGAAAAAGAGAGAGAGAGAGAAGGGAAAAGAAGCGTGCCCCCCCCCCTTTCCCGGCTCTGCCGGACATCACCAATATAATATAGGCGTACCCATAAAATATAATGTATACCATATGACAACAAGAGAAAGAACACATTTTGGTGGCTGAACCCAATTGGCTCTTCCCTTTAAAAAACAAACAAACAAACAAACAAGCAAACAAACAAAACGGAACTCGATGCGCCCGGCGCCACGTGCTTTCTCTCCCAGAAGGCGCCGGGGTGCGCAAGTGCCGCTCCGCCACCAGGCGACGGCTCCGTGTCGGCAGCAGACACAAGGCGCGGGCCGCGCTCGAGGAACCCGCGCCTCGGAGCCATCGAGGCGAGACATCTCGCGGAGGTCGTCGAGTCCCGGCAAAGTTCGAACAAAAAGAAATAGATAAAGGAAAACTGAAAAAGACCATACAGAGATACAACACAAAACGTACGCAGTAAACCCCCCACCCTCCCACGGTTGCCATGACACCTATCTTCCAGGGGTTGCAAGAGGACATGTATCTTCCGGGTCTTGCAGGTGTGATCTGATAGTGGGAGGGAGGGTAGTGAAAGTTGAAGAAGATACAGGGATACAAATATTTCGATTTCCAACAATCAAAACCGGGGGGGGGGGCGGAGGGGGGAGGGGGAGAGGGTGGAGAGAAGGAGGTGAGAGCCCTCGGTCTCTGTTGGGGGGGATAGGGGGGATACGTCCCCTGAACCCCCGAGCCGAAAAGCAACTGACAACCGGCTCCGCTTTTACGTGGCTAAGGGGAAAACGAAAAGAATGCACTGTCTTTGAGATCACCCCCCGAGGTGGGAGGGGTACTTGCATTGGCGCATCTGTTTGAGTCCAGGGAGGCCGTTGGCTTTGACGCTGCTTCCCTTGGTGAGGCTTCAGCCTGCTCCCTGGAGGTCTCTGAGAAGGGCCCTGCCTGGGACCGCTGACGTACCGTTCCCGGTTGTTGCCAAGAAAGTTCCGAAGGGGTGGGTGCTTTTTTAGTTGGAAGTGCACCCCCGAAGTGTGAAATTTGGCTGGGTGGAGGGTGGGATCTGTGCACATGGTGGTTCCTTTTTGCAAGCGATTTCTGCGTGTCATGAGGTTGCGGGGTGATGGAACTCCGTCTCACGTGAGATATAATGAGTCAAGAACCCTTGGAAGAACCAGGGGTGATGCCGGCGCGACCAACATCGAGCACCTCCCTACACGCAGCAAATCCGAAAACGCCAAAGATGTATAACTGATTCTATCTGCCCGGCCTATCAATGCAGTTCTTTCACCCGGCTTTCGAACGATCCATCCAGACACGCTCATTCCTCATGCACCCGATTCAAGGCGTCAAGGCGACGCCTGCCCTTTCGATCCACTTGGGCCATGTGACATGTTCACGCCCAAACGGAACGCGTGGCTCGAGGCTGGCTTCAAGTCTGCAGTCAGGCTGCGCAGCGATGTAGAGAGCTCGCCTGACAGTGCCCAAAAAAGATCTGGCCACCCACAGGGCAGCAAACCACTGAAGGCTGCGCCAACTGACTTTCAAGCATCTTGCGCGAAAAGCTTTAGTTTACATGTCTTCAAATGGGTGTCTTTTTATAGAGGGCCCCCCAAGAACGGACTTGAAAAACAACAGATCCAAATATTGGGCTTCTGCCTCTTCCGCTCCTTTTCTCCGAACTTCCAACTTCACACTGGCCCTGTCACACATCTTGGCGCCTCTGCGCTGTCCCCCGCGGAAAATCGCGACATCGCGACATCGCGGAAGCGGAAGGAAGCGCGACGCGCCCCCGCCTTGCGACCAGCTGGGCGGCCGGAAGAGGAGGCAAAGCACATGGAAGAGCGGGTGCAGATGGGAGCCTCGGATTTGGCTCGCCGCAAAAGAAAAAAGACCAAGGCTCACTTCCTGAGTGGGTTAGCCAAAAAAGAAACAGTATTTTTGTTGACAACAGAAATGGTCTTCCCCCCCCCCCCACAACCAAAAAAAAAAAACAACTCCAGGAACAAAGGAAGTGAGCTTCTTGTGCGGGCGGCTCCTCATTAACAAAAAAAACACTCCCATCCCTTGCGTTCTTGTGCCACAAGACAACACGGCCATGGGGGCTTAAATCAAGGCTCCTAATGATCAAATGATTGGTTTCATGTTGGTTTGCTGAAATCATGCATCAGCAGGGGTTCGTCCCGTGTTGAGACACAGCCTAGCCTAGTGTTGGGAGAATCAGCCTGTCATCAATCATCCTATCATAAAGGTTCAACCGTGGCACATTCCTCTGGGCGAAAGCACGGCAGCGCAGTGGCCTCAACGAGTCAGGCGAGACGCCAAAGGCAATGGCCATGTTGTCAAGGACGCAACCGTGAACTGCACACTGCCGCGGCCAACTCAGACTTTCAGTTCGTTCAAGAACTCGCCCCAAAAAACCGCTTCACCCGCAAGCCAATAGCCAGCCACCAAGCAATGGCGCATGCGGCTTCTGAATCTTGGCCGCTTGGGGAGGAAACAAAAAACATTCGGCTGGCCAACGCAAAAGCCACAAAGCTCAGAATTTCGGGCTGGCCCGGACTTTTGGGGTGGTTTGGGAGGGGCCATCGGTTTCCCCGGGCGCGAAGGACCGACCCCGACCGCGACCCCGACCGACCGCCCGCCTCCGCCAGCTGCACCTCGTCCATCTGCGCCGTGCCCTGGCGCGGCGCCGACATCCAGAGCCGCTCCAGCGCCTGGCCGGGGGGGATTGATTCTTCGGCTCCGGCTTGGGGGCTGTAAGGTTTCCATGGCTCAGGGGGATGTGTTTGTTTTTTTTGTTTTTGTTTTGTTTTTTGTTTGCTGTTTTTGTTTTTTTTTTTTTTGGGGGGGGGTGATCTTTGTGTTTGTTTTTGTCGTGTTTTCGCTTCTTCTTTTTTTTGGGGGGGAAGTTAGGACAGGTTGGGGGGATTTAGGGTTTCAGGCAATATGGTTCAGGGAGAGTCTGGAAGCCCCTTCCTTCAAGCAGGCGCTTGAGAGGGGCGCAGGCCGCTCCAAGCGAAACGCCGCCCAGCTCGACGGATAGGCTGCGCTCCCACCGATCCACCTGCAACCTGACCTTCTTGGATCCAGGTCTAGTTTAGACCATGTTCCTTTCGAAGGAACCATCTCCCAGCGGAAGGTGTCCATGATGGGAGGGGCACTTCCAATTGAACACATGAACGCCGGCAGCGGATCCTTTTCCCCACAGGCGGCCCCCCCGCGAAGTCCTCGTCGGCCCTGGCTTCATGCTCGGTGAGAGCTCTGGGCACCTCCGGCACCTCACCTGTGAGATGGGCGTTGCAACAGCGGGCGAAAAGAGCCGAGCTAAATGGCCCAAGGGGCACTGGAATTTCTATATATATATATATATATAAAAGAGAAAAAAAGAAGAAAAAAAACGGTGCCACTTTTGGAGTTTCCGAAAGGAAAAAATGGAGGACTCCCTGCATTCACCAGGGGTTCATGCCAGATTCATGCATTCAGCCATTGAAATGCTTGAAACGCCTCGCTGAGCGATCCTGTTTTGGGCAGAGGGGAGCTTGTTGTTAGATCGAATTTTCCCGTGCATCGACCATATTTTCAACGGGGGTGCAAACAGCCCTGAAATAGAGTTCGGTTGGCAAATGGTAATCAACACTCATCCCTCAATTAAGGAAGGTTGATGTGACGATGATGGCAAGCCGCAAGCCTCATACAGAAGGGAAGGGTCGACAACCATTCGCGTGGGCCAGAGGCCCCTGAAGCAAGTCCAAATTGACAATATCTTGTTTCTCACCTCCAAAGACGCCGCGTGCCGAATGCCGACTGCCAACAGTCCAACCAAGCCCACCCCCGCAGCAACCAGCAACCAGCAGCCGGCAGCAGGCAGCAAGCAGCGCTAGCCCCCGCTTTGCCCTTTGTGGCCTGCCATGATCTGCGTCAGCAATGGGAAGTCCTTGGCCTCGAAGATGCCGGGCACCGCTCCGGCAGCCAGCACCAATCGACCTCGTTTTTCACGGCCTCGTTTTTCATAGCGAGCTAAAGCGACCTCCCCCCAACCCCACACCCCACCCCACCCCACCTCACCCCACCCCGCATGGTTCTCCTGGAACCCTTGTAAAACCTCTTTTTTAAAACCCTGAAAGCTCCGAACCTTGGAGATCTTGGCCAATCGACCCCCCAAAGCTTGACCCTTCTGACGCGCGAGGGGCTGCCGCCCTCCAGCGGGAAGCCCTCGAAGTGCATCGCCCATCGCATGAGCTCCGCCGCCTGCGACCGAGTCACGCAAGAGGGGCAGGGGAACGACCACGAGTCATGTGGGCGTTGGATTCGAAGGAACCTGGCCTCATTGTTTTACCATGATCAAAGTCACCCAACTGGCGGGTTGTGGGTGATAACCCCCAGAGATGGTCAAAATAATGACCCCAGGGAACCGATCCCCAAGGAAGGAAGGTCGCTCATTCATGCCCCACCCCAGCAAGAGAAACCGGCCATGGACAAAGATCCTTGCTTTTAGTGGGTGGTTGGCCAATACCGTCTTTCAGCAATCATGGAAGACGGAAGCCCAAAGGGCCCCAGTCCACTTCCATGATTGTTCAATGGGTGGAACCTCGCCAAAGCGGTCACTACGCTCTCCAGACCCTCTTCAAATATTATATCACTGCAAGTTCCTTGCAGCAATGCCACGCAAGTGCTATAACCAAAGGCCAACACAAAAATGCGCTCCTTACCTTTTCGCTCAAAGATCCAGGGAAAGACATGCGCCGAAAGAAAGCGTCTCCAACTGAGGGTCGTCCTCTTCAACACGGTCCAAGCACCAGCCGGAGCTGTTCCAACCAGGAAGCCCATCAACCGCTTAGACACCCGATTGATGTCTGGCCCATATTTCAGGAACCGAGGAACTTTTATGTAAAAACCCTTTCACAATGGAAGTCAAAAGGAGTGTCTCCGAACCCTGCATTGGCGTCAGCGTCCATGAAGAAAGCACAGCATACACCCAACTAAAATCAACAGCTGAGTGGCTCACGGCTGCAACGAGCTGTAACCTCCAAGATGTCCCCCCGAAACTTTGGGGTCAATGCTCCATTCTGGGATTTTCATGTGGGGCCAAACTGGGACATCGAAAATTTGGTGGGCCAACCAACCAACCCACCAACCCACCTTCCCACCAACCCACCCACCCACCCACCCACCCACCCACCCACCAACCAACCACGTTAATGATTGTCCACCGACCACTTCAGCGGTCCCGACTCGAAAGAAGGCTCGTGCCCAACCAGCCCCCAACCCCAACCCCCCACCCCACCTCCCAGTGCCAGGACCTCTGCACCGCCTCCAGGGCTGTGGCCCTGCAAAGCACCTCCACTTTGCCAAGCTTTGCCAGGCGCGTGGTGGACAACTCTCGCCGTTTGTTTTCTTCAACAAAGTTATGACTGCTGCTTACTCGAGTCTAAGAAATGCTATCATTGCGTGTGTTCTAAAGAAATGGTATGACCGTTGCTGCTTACTCGATTCCAAGTTATCCTACATAAAGCCTCATCATGGGAAGCTCGGGGCGGGCTCAATAGGTGCGCTGGAGGGTCCTTGAATTCTTGAAAGTCTGAAAGATTGTGATACATGGGCAGTTGAAAGACAAACATGGAACCTGAAAGGGAGCCCCGGAAAGGAAATTTGCTCCAAGGGGGCGCTCAAGGAAGGTGATGTTGTTACCCTGCCAGTGCCTCAAGCTTTCGGCAAGGTCATTGGCTGCAGAAACAAGCAGAAAAACCTGAGCAGCTGCGGGTACTCGGTGGCGAAATCTGCGAAGCCCTGCTAAAAGTGACTAACTTTGAGTGGTTTAATACGGAAAACCCAAATTCGTTGGCAAACAGTTTAAGTCCTAACATCCTTTGGCAAAATGCACCAAAGGGTATTCTTGTTACTCGCAGGGCGAGCAAGACCTGATGATCGAGGAGCATGAGCCATGTGCTTGGGAACTGCTTGCGCAGAAGCTAAGCCAACCCATTCGAGCATTTTGAGCCATCCACCGTTTGCCGAGTCATGCAAGAAGGGGTGCTTTGATTGCCAGAAATATAGGGGGACCAGCAGTGAAAGAGCTCCGTGTGAGGGCCCCTAGTTTGAGTTTTGACGGACATGCTTTGCCATTGTCTCAGTTCCCGGGCTCGACGACCACCAAGTTCAAGAGTGGGGTGACCCTTTCACCATATGGGGGTTCCTCAAAAAAAAATGAGGTGTCCCCCCCCTTTGTGGTTCAAGAGGAAGCGCCCGTCCGGACGTGGGAAAACACCGGAGCTGCGAAACCCCCAGGCGTCAACCCCCAGCCGCGCCAGCGTCTGTAGCTCCAGGCACCGGCGCTGCCTGCCCAGGAGCCGCAGCACCGGTTTCACCTCTCAGCTTGGGGCGGGTTGGGGGGGCTGGGGGCGTACTGTGGATGGTTGCGAAATCCATTTCGCACCAAAGAAACCCAACGGAATGACAGATTCCCCTGCAAATACCAAGCAATGGCTTCCCATGCATTCAAAGTGGTGCAGGATTTCGTCCATCCACAGTGATTATTGTAGTCGTCGTCGTCGCAGCACTTCTGTTGCTACTGCGAAGTGACTGGTGCTACGGTTGCCACTACCACGAATACTGCGACGACTAGTACTGCGACGAGACGACTGCTACGACTACGACTGCAACGAGACCACCACTACAACTACTGCGGCCTTGGCTCCGGTGGGGAAGCTTTGCGTTTGGCGAGCTCTTTGACGGCAGGGCCCCAAGACACGCTCCCATGGTTGCGGCTGAAGCACACGAAAGGTCAAGGATATCTCTGGAAGGGATTCAGAGAAATTGACTGGAAATACATCAAAGGAGAACCACGCGCTTGAGCCACCAACAAGGGCAACAAAAATCTTTGCCCCCAGCTTTTATGAAGAAGCTCTTGGTAGGCACTGCAGAGAACCGGTTTGCAGTGTCGGAGCTCTTCTCTTCCGGCATAAGGGAGTTTGCAGAGGTCTACTCCCTTCAGGCTGTGCGGCAGGATCTCTACCGACCATCACCCACCGGCCAATAGCAAGGATCTGCCAATTCGGGAGATGGCCTGCGGAGTGCGGAACGGCGACAAGGTTTTACAAGGTTTGGCAGGTCAGGGCGATTTCGGATTCCCAAAGCGAGCTTAAAAGCCGTCAGCACATTCAAGCGGTCAACCGTTTCTTCCCAAACAAAGAGGGATTGACGCCGAACCCCCCTCCGACTTTGCAATGTCAGCAAAACCTCTTTCTCCATGGCATGCGACCCGGGGCCCGTAAGTTTCACCTCCCCATGTCGGCCTGGTGCTTCTCCTCCCGCAGGGCTTTCACCTGGCCCTCGAGCTCCAGGAAATCTGCCCGGACCTCAAACCGGCGGCGGACGCGCGCGCGCTCCGCGCTTTTGCGCCAGAGGCGATGGGATGGCATCCAATATGCGGCACTGGTCTCAAAGGCAGGGCGGCCTGTGCACACGGGTTCTTTTCTTTGACATGGCGCAGGTTCAAATGAGTGTGCATGCTTGCCGCGCATCAAAAACAGCCTCTTCGGAAATGGATGGAACTGAGGTTGCCAGGGGCGTGGGAAAAACCGGGTGGTTCTTCTAACCATGCACCACCGCCAAAACAGGTGAGAGAAACTCCCTCTCTCTCTCTCTCTCTCTCTCTCTCTCTCTCTCTCTCCCTCCCTCCCTCCCTCCCTCTCTCTATAGGAACCCCAGCCCATTTCAGAGCTTCTTTGGAGCAACAATTTGCTCCATACGCCCATCCGCTTCTCGTGTCGAGGGGCGTGCTCCAGCGCGTCCCAGGTCTGCTGCTCCAGGGACCTTGGCTGCTGCTGCCGCTCGCAGCTCTCGATCTGGGTGGTGCCCAGCATGGACTGCGACAGCCTCGCGACATGGGCACGGAACTCGGCCGAAGGGTGAACTCCTTTAGAAAAACCTTTTGTGGAGGTACCCATTTTGTTTGGAGGTACCCGTTTTGTTTTGGACAAAGGGAAACCCGAAGAAACAAAAAGGATGCTCTTTTGGACGGGCCCAACCTTTAAAAAAAAAAACATAGCTATGGCTCACAACTAAGGAGCTGGGGCCAACCGCGGGTCTTGGTCCATGTTTCCACTTGCCAGGGTTCCATGTTGAAATTCCGTGTTGTTTTTTTTGGTGGACCCACAGCCACATCCGAAAGGAACCAAGCCACCTTGGGCTTCCCTTAGCCCCGGGCCAATGTCGGATTTCATGGGCAAAACCGAGTTTGTTTGCTTTTTCCCCCTCGGTGCGCGCATGGCCTGGCGATCGAGAGCGAAGTGTGCCAAGTCTGAGTCTTGGCATCTCCCTGTCGGCTGGCTTTTAGCCAAAGCGCTGAAGAAGCTACAATCCAGGGACTCGCCCTGAGAGGTACCCTCATTTAAATGTGGTTTTCAATGACAACCAAAAGGAAGCTTTCTGCCCCCTGCTAAAAGTGACTAACTTTTAGTGGTTTAATGGAACACCCAAATTCGTTGGCAAAAAGTTACAGTCCCACCATCCTTTGGCAAAACGCACCAAAGATTTGGCCCCATTTCGTGGGTCCAAGGCAAACCCATTTGTATCACCTGAGGCCTTGCATCTGAGGCCCCTGGCACAGCTTCCGAGGCCGCCCGCTGCTGCTCGTCTCCCCGCGCCGCCTCCCAAGCCGGAACCGGCGAATCCATGCCGAGCGAAGCCAAGCCGGGCTGGGTGGACCAAAGCGTGCATGATCTCGCCATGAGCGCCTCTCAAGATCAGGGACCCCTTCAATTTTGCGAAACGCCCATGTGCGGTTGCGATTCGCCGTGTTTTGCGGCGATCTTGTCATTTGTCTTGCCCCGACCTCCAATCTCGCGTGTTGCCCCCGGGTACAGACTTACAAGACCAAGCAAGTTCATCAGACTCCAGCCTGGAGAAAAGCAACTGAAACCACACTGGATGGGCCGTTCCAAAATGAAGAGAGTTAGCCACTGAAAGTCGAAAAAAATGACCCATGCGTATATATATAGATATATATATATACAATGTATTGTTTTTGTATGTATACATGTATAATTGTGTATGTATATATATATATATATATATATAAATGCGGCCCCTTCTTTTGGAGCAAGGCGAATTCACAAAAAAAAAAGGCCTCCACCGCGTGCAGCAGCCTTAGCACCAGGATCTGGTCCGCGGACATGGCGGCCGCAAAGATGCTGAGCCCCACGATGCCCAGGAGCTCGTGTAGCAGAGACATGGACGACACCGCGTTGCCTGCGAGGAGAAAACGACGACTTGGACGACTTGGGCGGAGTGGGCATCGCCGTTTTTTTGGCCTCCTTTCTCTCGACTTTTCAGCAAGGTCCTCCATGAGCCGGAATCGACCTGGGAAACTGGTGAGGAAACATTGGAACTGAATTGACCACCGGCAGCTAGTGGCCCACGGTGCAAGTGCCACGCCAGACGTGGCACTTTGGTTTGGACATGGGATGGATCTTCATGACCCCTTTTTCCGGACCCGATCAGTTTGAAAGTTTGTCAAAACTTGCGAAGCCAAAAATGGGCTGGTTCTTTGTTTGTGTCCCTCTACACCCACCCCCAAAAAATGGTCCCACCATTTTTCAAAAGGAGTTTTCCCTAGAAATGGATGGGATTGTTGGATTCCAGGTATACCAACCCCCCTCCCCCCTCCCTCCTCCCCCCCTCCCCCCCCTCTCCCCCCCCTTCTCCAGGTATACCAACCCGCCCCCCCCCAAAAAAAAAAAAAAAACAAGAAAAAACACTGCTGTCTCCATAGGTGGCCTTTTGAAAAAATAGATGGCTTTCCCTGGTAAATGGAATAAACCCCGTCTAAACCAGGAATCGCCCTCTATTTTTCAAGCAAACCAACCAAAAAGGACACCTATGGCCGTCTCCTCTCCCTTCCCCAAAACCGCCTGTGAAGCTGAGCTCCACCTTGGGTTGCGCCCAGGCAGAGCTCGGACTTCCCACCACCTGCGAGATGAACACCCCAAGGCTTTATCCCAGTCGGTCAAATGAAGAGACTTGGATCCATGGGTGGAGTTTTTTTTCGAGCCTATTGGCTGCTGGCTGGCCATGAAAAAGAAAAGCGGCACTCCCCACCCAACTTCGCGGAGCCAACGAAATCCATGGGAACATGTTGGCCCAACTTAGTAGGACCAACTCAATCTGGCTGGGATGTGGGGGTTGCTCAAACCTCCTTCTTGCCCGGCGAAAGAAGTCCAAGCAATTCGGCCATGGCCACAGAGCTGACGCAGCCAGGCCACGATCTGAGGGGCTGGGACGGGATGGCCTCGAGGGATGACCTTGGTCTCCGCCTCCTCCACCTGCGCGCAAAAGGGAAAGACGATGGCATAGGTGTCATTTTTGGGGAAATGGATGGGTTTCCCTGGTAGATGGGAATAAACCGCCAGGTAAACCAGGGATCGCCACCTATTTTTTCGAGCAAAACAACCAAAAAAGACACCTATGGGCGATGGTTTACGGGGAAGCCTTGATTATAGGATAGCCAAGTGCGTTTGTCGGTTCTGGTTGTACCCCTAGCAAATTTATGGTTCTTGTGATGGCCGTTGTTTTGGGAAATGTGCTCATCATTATTCTCATTTTTCAGGTAAGTCGGTAAGCCTTAGTTGGTCATTTGGATTGGCTGTTTGGGAATCGAACGCCTGTAGTTCTTGTTGGGGATAGATGGGAAACCACCCCCAAAACACCTCAAAACCACCCCACCAATTGGTGTGATGCTTTTCTCCAACAGCTGGAGTCTTTTGCCCAAATAAGCTCTGGGGTGGTTTGGGGCAACTTTCAGGGAGGGTTCAACGGGAGGGTTCCAGACGGTTTCGGAGCAGTCGGGGACCTCACCTGGTTTGGGTTGAGGCTGCCCTTTCCTGTTTGGCTTGCAAAGGAAACCAATGGGAAACCATCAGTGGCAGTTCCGCCCACTTTAAGACACACCCAAATAAGCAAACAGGCAAAACCCAAAATCTGGGTGGTGTGCAGCCTACCCCTCTCTCTCCCCACCTCCCTCCCTTGCCTCTCCCTACCTCCCCCGCTCTCTCTCTCTCTCTCTCCCCTTCCCCATCCCTCCTTTCCTTGCTTTCCTCCCCTCCCTTTCCTCTCCTACCCAAGTCCTCGCTGTCACTCCGTTTCCTCTTGCCTCGCCTCCCCCCATTCCTCACTATCCCTTCTCTTCCCTTTTTGCTTCTCCCTTTTCTCCCCGTTTTCCTTGGCTTCTTTGTTGCTGTGCCGCTGTCTTTGCGCCTGTGCTGTCGCTTTGTTCGCTCCTACCTGCCCACATTTCAGCAAGTTGCTTGGCAAATGCAACTCCGGCAATGACACGAGTGCCTGCGCGCCCGGCCAAACACAGCTGCCAGTAGGACATTCAACCGTCTTAGCTCGAACCCAACCGCACGCCAAGCTTCTGATGAGCCCCTTCGATCAATGTCCTGCTTTCTTCCATGGAAACCATCGCTTTTGGAGGCATCCCAAAAATAGAAAAGGGCATTTGAGGGACCCCCTGTCAGATGTAGTAGCCCAAAAGGGGAAATGGCTCTTTGCAACCCACCGTACTTGCACCTTTTCATGAGCACTTTCAGCCCGTAAAACCCGACCAAAAATCCCCGTAAAACCCGTGATACCCTAAACCATTGAGGCTGCTGGGCAGAGGAGCTTGGTGCACATAACGCTGATCCCGTACTAATCAACCCCAGTTTATTCACAGGCGGTGTCCGATTCTGAGTGACATGTGGGGAAGGAATCAGACCACTTTGGGGGCCAAAAAACACCACCCCTCCTAATGAACACATTGGTTGACTAATTTCTGGGGTCAAAAGGAAACAGCGTGCCTGGGATTCAAACCATGGAAAATTATCGGGTTGGGGTGAATATTTCAAATTATTCATAAACATCTTTAACCCATATTTCAAACCATCAATACTTCAGATTATTGGGTTGGGTTGAAATTCATACAGAATTCATTCTGCTTGCGACACCTCCCTCTCCCCCCCAAGGCCTCGATGAGCTGCGGGAAAGGCTCCGGCATGTTCACCTCAGCTCCGCGAGTGGGATCTGATTGTTTTTGCAGATGGGAAAAGCCACATATTGGGGCGCCGAGCTCTGCCCAGCAACTCAATGGTTTTGGGGTGGAACCGGGCTTAGAGTTCTGGGGGATGTCCGATGTGTGCGTTTTGTTTGTTGGCGTTGCTGTTTGTTTGTTTGTTTGTTTTTTTGCGGGGATTTGTTTTCTGTATGTGTGGTCCCCTTTTTTTGGGGACTCTCTATACCCAGCACAGCACCCCCCTACCCACCTCGCAGTCTCTGACGTAGCGCCCGATGCTGGGGCAATCAGTGCCCCGCAGCGCCAGGACCTCGGCGAGTTCTCATGCGCGTGGAGTCTGGGGTCCGGTTGGCCTGTGGTTTAGTGTGCATACATATATATATATATATATATGTGTGTGTGTGTGTATGTGTGTGTATGTGTGTAGATATACATATTTAGATATATGCATACCTATGCATATTATAGGGTTTCTGCAGAGTGCCTCTTTGGGGGGGCGTCCCTCATTCGGGCCTGACAACCATGGAACAGGGGCATGTTTTTCGGTATGCCTGGCAAAAAGGTTAAACGCTTAGATTCTCTGGCGTGAACAGGGTTCATGCATACAGCATGTAAAGCCAGACATGACCTGGGTGAGAAGAAAAATCAAACGAGGCAGCTTGGGGTGTCCCCGGTTCCCCGCGACAAGAACCAGGAGTCGTACCCATGCGAACCAAGGAGCATGAAAGGGGACCAAACGGGGCAACAAAAAGAAGGTGAATGGGAAATGGCTACGTGAAGCTAGTGGAATGCATCGGTTTCCTCCCTAAACGAAAAGACCGGCGGCTTTTGAAGATTTGACCCTTCCAGTTGCCAGCACCGGAGCTCAGGGAAACCATCAAACCAAGGGGATCATAAGCTACAACAAGTGGCTACGAATTTTAATGGGGACCTTTGGTGGATATCCTTTAGGTGGGGATTTATCCAGCGACTGGGAGGGTTCTGGGAAGCAAGCATCAGCATGGGCCCCGGTTTTGGACCTTGAAAGAGCCTTCTTGGAACTTGTTCGCTTGAGGTCTGCTTACTGTCAACCACCCTGTGCTTGGGCGTGGAAAAAAGCTGAGCTTTGAACGCGTCAGTTTTTGAGTCCGCTCCTTCTCGAAATGAGCTTCACGATATGTACCACCTCTTTGACGCGCCCGCGGTCAGCGTGTGGGAGTGGCGTGCCTTGATGTCCACGCGTTCGGCAAAGGCATGTGTATTGCTCACATCTATATAATCGTTCGGCCTCACTGCTGGCCCCGTCTCATCCCCAAAGGGCGATAGGAGAATGCTCTCTTCCATTTGCTTTTTAAGCCCCCCGGAAAAACTAATGATTTATATAAAAAAGGGGTGATCGATTCCTTTTAAAACCAACAGGGGAAAATTAAATAAAACAAATATTAAACAAGTGGAAGCTCTCTTCAGAGAGGCTGATCGTCTCAAGAAGCACTCCCTCGCCCGAGCTTTCCGCCTCCTCGACCATCGGCACGTTGAAGATGCTCTGCAGGCTGCCGTCGGATTCCACGAGCATCCGACGCCGGCCCTCCTGAAAAGCTGCTGCGAGACTCGGTGGCGAAATCTGCGAAGCCCTGCTAAAAGTGGCTAACTCTGAGTGGTTTAGGGGTTGAAATTATTGGGTTGTCAGAATCAGTTTAACTTTGAGTGGTTTAGTACGGAAAACCCAAATTCGTTGGCAAAAAGTTAGTCAGTCCTACAGCATTTGGCAAAATGCACCAAAGGAGACAGGTATGTAGCCCCACTCGTCAAACACAGACCTGATAGCGTGCTTCCAAAAAAGCCGGGAGAGTGAAAACACCCAGAAAGAACAAATACATGCTCAATTCGATTGGTTGCTGCACTGAGTTCAGCCTATCCCAGGCTCGCCCACCCCAGCCAAACCTAAAATTGTAAGATATCTCTGGCGATTCGGGAGGTTTACGCGGTGAGGCTTGGCTGTGATGAATGTACGGGTATAACTACCAGTAATAACGGAGTGGCATCCCAAGCCCAGCCGGGAGGGGCCCAGTTCCATTCACCCCGTCGCCCGGAAAGCATCAACCGAACGGGGCCAACCAAGCAAGCGCCAGGCTCCCCAATAAAATACCTGCAGCTTTCCGACTGAAAGGCTCCCTTACCCCCCACCCTCCCCCCAAAAAAAAAACACACACACACACAACCACCCCCGCCCCCCAAACGAACCGAACCGCTCCCGCGAGCACGTGAAGGGCGAGATCTCCGGCGGCAGCGTCTGCGCCATGCGCCGCAGCTCCCCACAAGCCTCGCTGGCCTCGCATTCCAATTTGCTGGCAAATGGCTCGGAGGGCTCGGCGGATCTCGTTGTTGGAGGGGGACCCAGCAAAAATATCGGTCCAGCGCCTTGGGGGCGCTTTTTGTTGTTGTAAAAAAAGAAAAAAAGAACGGCGACCCCGAAAGACAAGCATGGAACGGTTGTATGTCTTTCAGGTCTATCATAATCTGGCTTGATGTATCTGGGTTGCTGTTGACGCCTCTGCAAAAGGGGGACCAAAAAAGAGACACACCCAAATGCAACCGGGCTGGCTGCTTCATGGAAGGGCAAGTGCACGTAGCTCGCTTGAAAGCTTGACATGCACCGGCTGCGAGAAAGCCGATCGGCTTTTGCCGGGGGCTGGCTTGCCCACGTCACTGACATGGAGAAAGGAACCCCGCCTACCCACACTTCACCTTCGCTCTACTTGGTGTGGATTGGTGGTTTCGAGACTCGGGGATGGTTTGCCATCTACCCTCTACAAGAACCAGTGTTCAAATCCCCAAACCACCAATCCAACAACGGGATCTTTTTGCCACCTTTTGTGAGAAAATTGGCGACCCCCTCAAAAAGGAATCCTTCACTACGAGGGGGTCGATCATGTTTCCACAAAAGGCGGCAAAAAGACCCCCCTGCAATCCAAAGAAATACCTGTTTGTGTGACACGGCGGTTAACACTGCAGCCCGCAAACCGGCTTCTGAAAGCCACTATCTCGTAGATCCATGGCTCATGCAATGCAAAAAACTTTCTTCAGCTCAAACCTGTGAACCTCGCCGCCTTCTTAAGTCTGCTTGCGCAAAAACGCTCTTTACAACTTACTCAATGTGTGCGTGTGTGTGTGTGTGTGTGGTTTGCTGATTGGTTCCACCTCTTTTCTCGGTGTCCAATCTCCAAGTGCCCTGGCCTGCACGCGCAAACACAGGTCACAGGCCCGCTCCAGCATGAAGAGGCTGCTGTAGGACAGAGACCGGCACCGGTAGATGGACTCAGCGGCTCGAATCCGAGCGCGCAGTCACGCTGCCGGTTTCAAGCACACGGAAACGAAGGGAAACAAATGCAGACCCTGACCCGGCTGCGATATGCGAGGCTAGTTTTCAGTAAGACGTGGGACTTGTCGCAAGTTTGGATGAACTGAACTCGACCAACTATGCTTTACATGTGAAGTTGCTGAGGATGGTTCAAAATGCCCAAACCCCTCACCCTCCGTGCCCTCTTGCTGATCAAGCCACCAGGCAGCTCATCTTGCTCGCCTGAGGCTGAAACAAAGTTTGGGTCAAAGCATTGCGGTTGCTCGGGGGGCGGCTCCAACAGAATCCACGCTCACAGCTGCAAGCCTAGATAGACGGCCCAAGCGGACTCTCACACCCGCGTACATGACAGCGCACCCGCACAAACACACAAGCACACAAACACACAAGACATAAACACAGACATAGACACAGACACAGACACACAGACACACAGAAACACAGAGACACAGAGACACAGAGACACAGAGGCACAGAGACACAGAGACACAGAGACACAGAGACACAGAGACACACACACACACACACACGGGCGCGCGCACCCACATGGCAAGCGGCAGGGAGGGCATTACCTCACAAGTTCGCTCCAATAATTCGAGCCTACTGCTGTTTAGGGCCCTTGACTCGGAAACGCTTGGCTGGTGGCGTCTCGCAAAACGTCCGCATCTCCTTCTGACCGAAACCCGCCCATTTGTTTCGCGGGAAATCCGAGGCGCCCCTGCTAGGTTCTCCAACTGCCGGCCCTTGCCGCGGACCACCTCCCGGACTGTGGCGCTCACCTGGGTGTAGATGGCCTCGCGATCAGCGAGGGGCCCCCTACCTGCCTCTGCGGACCTTTTCTGCGTTCAGATGTGCGCGTCATGGCGGATACCCATCAAAAGCTTGGGTGTTTCCTCATCAAAAGGCCGAGGGAAAATTGCGCCTCATCGCGAAAACCATGCAAAGCAGACATCAAAGGGATGTGTTGCAAGTCTCCCTGCCAGCGGAGTGGACGCACACCAAAAAAAAAAACTCGCAGCCGCGTGAGCGCCGCCGAGGGACCGAGCGCACAGCGCCGGGCCACTGCAGAGACTTGGCTGCGAGCTTGGCCTTGTCCGGCTCCTTGAGACGCACTTCGAAAGTCGAAGCCTGGAATGGCAGCTTTTGGTGGACTCCCCCCCATGTTTGGTCTGAAAAAAGGAAATCCCACTAAAGAAGGAACCTTCATCATTCCCGCAGGGTCGGCATTACAAATCCCGAGGTGCGTCATATTTAAAAAACGAAGGAGATCGAAAGAAAGACCCCCGACCCCCGAAGAAAAACAACCGCGACTGCCGTCGAATCGAAGGAGGAAGAAAAAAAAAGAAAAAAACACGGGACTCCGGTCGACAGTCCTGCGAGGGCGGGCGGCTCTCGGGCCCCCCTCTCTGTGGCCACGGCCTGGCGGGAACGACTGAAAAAGACCTGGTTTGATATTGCGTTCTGTCGAGTTTTGTGGGCACGTCAGCCACACATGCGCGTTGTGATCATGATGCATCCTACCATATAATTGCCATGAGCCCCCCCTTTCCCCCTTCCCCCCCCCAATTCCAAGGACCACTTGTTGAACCTACATGCCGAGCGGACTCCAAAATTAACCTTCAAATCCCCTGGTATGGTCACGGTTTGCGCGACATTGATGCACCTGTCCTATGCCCAGAATCCCTGAGACGCGGCTACCATTGGTTGAAACCCCAACTCAGACTCGTGGAACTGAAGGCCCTTAATGACGCCCGCACGAAAATCAACGAAGAAGTAACAGAGCACCGTTTTCTTAAAGCATACGGTCGTCGTCAATCGGGGAACCCCCAAAAAAGTATTGGTTGACCTTTGGTTTTCCGAAAAGAGGTTGGCAGAACATGTCAAACGCCTATGCGTCCCTTGTTCTCTCAGAAACAGATATCCCGGGAGGTGATCCCATTGAACCCATCCAGCAACATGGACCAGAAAATGTCCCTTTCAGCAAATTGTATTCCAGCCACCCAGTCAGGTTCTACGTTGCTCGCTAATGTACATGATGTAGTTTCGCGCAGCCAATCACCAGCTGCCTTGCGAGCAACATGTCCAGTAGAATGGGTGTGACCCCTTTGGTGGGCGTCATCTCTCTAGCTGGGGGGCTCATGACTTGCGAGCATAGGTGACCTGGCAAATGGAATAAAAGACCCACCTAAACCAGTAGAACCCCTATCTTTTTCGAAGCAGACTAAGCAAGCGGACACACCGACCACTTGTGAGGTGGTCGTCCCACCCACCCGGAGAACATGAGCCTGAGCCCAACCCCATTCTCCTCGAGCCTGCTGAGGCGGCTCCAGCAGCAGAGGTGCGCCAGGCTGGGCCCTGGGGAGTGGAGCTGTCGCACAGGGAAACTATGTCCGACACGTGCAGCTTTAGAAACAGGAGGTACTGCAGCGATGGCCTTTTCTCAAACACATGACCGAGGTAGGATTACCTACGGCTGGGGTAGTGTAGAGGAAGATCAAATCCCATTTAAATATCCTTAAAAAGATAAACAGAGAAAATACAAACACCAACAAAAAAACAAAGATGAATAAACCAATATAAACACATATTAAATAGCATATAAATAAAATAAAGACCAACAAATACACAATTAGATAGTAACAAACGAAAACCAATCCCGAACGATCGAAAACAAGAAACAAAAAAAAAAGAAATAAAACGAGATAAAACAAATCAAAGAAACAAAATAAAAGAGATAAAATAACGTCCTACATATAAGAAATTTTAAAAATTTGGAGGTCAAAGGAAACTGCCATTGAGCACTTCCTGTTTTCTCCTTTCTGAAATCTGGGATACACCAATTGAGATCCTTTGTGCTTCCAGTTACCAGTGTGGTAGGTAACCACTCATGTAAAACCTAGAGGTAAGGATTCCTGTTTATCTACCACAGAAGCTTGCCTGGAAGCACTGGGACTTGCTCGATCCTGAATTCTGATGTTTGTTGATGCGCACAGCGACTCTTAAGGGTGGCTTCGCCTTATGTTTTGGTTGGGACTGTCCCTTAGCCGTCATCTCGGTGTGTCTTTTCTCAGGATTTGGACCCCCCCACCCCAAAAAAAGGAAAAATGGTGGTGTTCCCGTTCCAGAAAAGGTGGTCCCCTAAAAGAAGACACGCCCGTCTACTAGGAGGGAAATAGTGGTCAGGCTACGGGAAAAAGAAATGGACACCAACCATTGCAGCCTTTTTTAAAAAAACACCCAAATGCATAATCAAAACCGTCGTCGGTATTAACAGTGCATACCCAAAACCATGCCTAGAGGTAGCTGGGACAATCCCTTCCCCTCCACTACCCGAATCGGTTTTTGAGGACGCGGCCCAAATGCTTGCTGGTGCTCGGTAGGGAACGATCTTCCGGGTTTTGGGACGTTGGATGGCTCAAATCGGTGGCATTCTATGTCTCGCCCCGGCAAAGAAAAAACAAAACAAAAAAACATTCCCTATGGTGTCCTTGCGGACGGATTTGTTCATGTCTATATTGACAGATATTTGTGGACATGTGTTCATTCAAAGTGTACAGTCTGGTGAACTGGAAAGGAAAAACGCGCGAGCCGTGGCTCAAATGCCCCCCAAAACCGTCTCCGGCGAGCGGCCGGCGGCTTTGAAACCGCTGACGCTGAGACCGGCCGCCGCGGCCCGCGAGACACGCTCCCGCTCCCGGGAGATGAGCAGGCCTTGGGGTTTGGGGTGCTGGGAACCGCGCACAAGGTGACCCCCAATGAAGAAATCCGTCCTATACAAATATATTTGTACACATATATATCTCTACACATATTTGTATATGTATATATATATATATATGTGCATGTATATGAACAAGAATCACTGGGAGATGGAAAAAAGGTGGACCCCCCCCCCACTCTACTTTGTTCTGCTTCCCCAGAAGGAAGATCAAATCTCTCAAGCCCCTCCGTCCATTTACGCTTGGGGAGGGCAACCAGCCAAGGCCAAAAGGCCGTCACACAGCACGGCGTTGTGCCGCAGGCAGCCCACCTGAGAAGAGCGGAGCCATGGGATGCGGAGCTGCAAGCGGGAACCCCTTGCTCCAAGGGAGAACCCAAAAAGGGGATTTCGGGTTTCGTCTGGGCTTCCCTACCCAAAACGGATGGTCTATTTGGGGGGTCCCTTAAGAAAAGGATTCACTCAAAAGACACCATCAAGATTTCTTGTTCTTGAAGTGATTCCCTCGCCAGTATGGGTGAGCAGTCAATTCGCCATCCAGGGCAATAATTGTGGAGACAAGTACTTGGTTGCTGTTCACTTGTGGGTTCAATGGAAAGCCCAAATGATTTCAACCAAAAGGTAAAACCTAAAGATCCGTTACCCAATAGCCCAAAAGCAACAAACGGACCATGTGACCATGGAATCATCGTGGGAATGTGGCATTCTCCCCCAGCCATTTTCCTTGCCCCTTCCATACATGAAGCAGGTGGGACAGAAGAACTCCACACCCCTGCGGATTTCGGGGCAGATTCATCTGCCAAAGGATCCAGTCCCCACCTCCACCCTTACGACACTGGATTTGTGCTCTCCTCCGCGACCTGGAAATTACCAGGCATTATTTATATTTAAAAGAACGATTCACTCCCCCAGCGTATTCTCTTCACCTGACCTCTTTGCCACCCACCCGGCCCGGCCAAACAGCACGCTCACTATGGCACCGTTGCATGCTCAAAAGCATGCCTCCACAAACCCGGGGAGGGGCGCGATGCGCCAAGTTGCCAAGAGCCACTTGCCCGCAACCTGGTGCTGAAGGATGCCCCGCAGCTCGTGCATCTGGTCTGCCTGCCGTTCTCCCAAGCCTTACCCCTCATATATATTTGTCCATGGCCCAAGAACAGCAAAAGATTGCTTCGGCTACTTTTTAAGCATGTCAAGGGTGGCCAACCCAGCCCTGCCACCAGCCCAAACTTCAGAGGGTGAAGTACATCTATGCGCTGCACCCTTTTGGAATCTGCATTGGTGGTTGCCGCTTCCCGCCCCAAAAGATTCCTGGATCTTCCTGCCTGGGCCTCCACACTTCTAACCAGAAGGATGGAAGTGGAAGCCATGGCTGACCCCCCCCCCCCCACCAACAAAAAAAATGCAGAAGAATACACAGAATACCGCACGAGCGGGCGTATGCCTGCAAGAGAGTGCGCACACCCACCCCAGTGGCGAAATCCAGGTGGCTGAAGCAGCCTCGGAGGTTTTTCGCGGGGCTACCGGGGAAGTTGGAAGATACTTGCACTGCGTTTGAGGGAGCGCAGGCGTGAATTGGGGCCAAGCACCCTGCACTGCCTTGCATAAGTCTCCATCAGTCTCCGCTCCTTTCAGGTTCGGGGGGTTCCTAGCACGGCGCGGCGGAGCCCGAAGTTACCGGAAGCCGCTCTGATAGAAGATGCGTGCGGCTCCAGCGATCCCCGTAGCCCAGAGAAACTCCCCGTCACATACCGCTCAGGCGGACTAGGAACTCTACCCCTTCGCTCTTGGCCGCAAAGTTTTCACGGTTCTTTTGACTGGTGGGTGCGAAGCGCGGGTGTCAGCGAGTGGCCCTCGTTCCAGTTTGGAGCACGGCTTGAGGAGCGGGACTTTGAGGGGCGAGCTGAGGGCTTTGGAGGTGGCAAGACGTCATGGTATCCCAAAAAGAAGCCAATCGGCAAAACAAGAAGATCCAGCGCCAAGCCCCAACCCAAAAGCCAACAAACCAGCCCAAGCCAAACCCAACCCACCCCACCCCATCCCAACCAAGCCCAACCAAGCCCAACCACCCAACCAACCCAACTCATCCCAACCAACCCAACCCACAACCCAACTAGTCCCATCCAACCCCCATCCCAACCATCCCAGCCCAACCCAACCCATCCCAACCCACCCCCCCACCCAACCCCCGCAAACTCTACGCCGCGGCGTTCCTTTGTGGGAGGGCCGATCGATTGGAAAGCGCCCCGGGGCCCGGAAAAGAATGGGGGAGACTAAAGATTAAGCGAGCCTGCTTGCGGGAAACATCGCCGCCCACTAGGGGCCCCGTGGGGCTCAGTTGCGAGCCGCTTGAAGGCGGCCCGCGCGCGAGCCACTGCGCCTGCGTCGCCGGTCCTGCCCACCCCGCTCCGAGTGGCGTGCCCGCCCCTTTTCAAAAATTCAAGCCAGCGCGCCTCTCCGCGCAGCGCGCGGCTCAGCACCGCCTGCTCCACGGAGGCTGTGTTCCGAGCCTGGAGGGCTGCAGCGCCACGGGGCGCTCCTTAAATTGCTGGGCCGTAAGCGCGGCGCCCGCCGAGGTGAACTGCGGCTACCCGGGCGGCCGCCTGGACGTCCACAGCCCTCAGCCCCCAACGCGCGGGCCTGGAAGAAGAGCGGGCTCGTCGTGCTGCGGCCTCAAGTGAAAAACAAACTTGTTCTTCGCTCGCCAGCACGAGGGCCCGGCCGCGAACTTGTGCGCGAGCGAAGCCTCAGGCAACAGCGGGGACAAAGCCGGGTGAAGACCCAGAGATCGCGCCGCCTTTTCCTGGACAGAGCCGGGCGCTTCGGCAGCAAAAAATTGCACCACGCGTGCCCAGCTCCCGGCGCGCCGCGAGGAGATCCCCCTCACCTGAGAAAGGCTGGTTTGCCGCGCAAGCCTCGCGAACTGGCTGCAAGTGGCCTTCCGGCTTCGCCTCGAAGGCTCCTGCCAGGCCTTGTCCTTCTTCGCAGGAACAAAGAAGCGCCGCAAACTGTCGCCACGCCCTCCGCGACTTCCGCCTTGGGCACGGCCGTGGGCTTGCAGCCTGCGCAAAGGCAGGCGAGCTTCCAAACCAAAGCCACGCCTGCACGCCTGGACGCCGGACTGGGGCCAGTCCAAGAACTCCGTCGTGAAGCCCAAGAACTCCTTCGACGCAGACTGGGAGGCGGGGCCACCAAACCACCCCCCGCCGCCCCTTACCGCCCGCTTTGTTCCGGAGATGCCAAACGAACCCGCACCCAGAAGCAATTGGTTTCCCGCTTGAGCACTTCGCCGCTCGCCCACGCTGCGTGACCCCACGCCGACAATCCGATTCGAACAGGCCCCATGCGTTTACCAGTCATGCCAACCCAACCAACCCATCCCAACCCAACCCAACCCACCCAATCCAATCCAATCCAACCCATCCCAACCCAACCCACCCAACCCACCCGAACCCAACCCAACCACAACCCAAATCCAAACCCAACCCATGCATCCCATCCCAACCAACCCACCCCCATCCCAACCCAACCCAATCCAACCCAACCCAACCCAACCCCAGCCAAACCCCACCCCATCCCAACCCAACCCATCCCATCCCATCCCAACCCAACCCATCCCATCCCAACCCAACCCAACGAGCCAACCCCTCGGCCAGGTTGCTCATCGCCTCCGCCGCCCACAACGGCGCTAAGCCACCCTTGCCAGAGCCCAGCTCCAGGCCAAAGTCCGAGCTCAGGTCCGCCAGGGTCTCCTGGAGATGGGACGTTGGGGTGGGGGCCTTCTCGCAGCTGATTTGTTTTAACAAAAAAAACGGAAGTGCACAGACCCCTGCAAAAAAAGAAGGACAACTTTCCTCTTGGAAACGGCCTTTTGGCACTTCCATGTTAATTGGTCGTGATGTCTATCTCCAGACTCCTTCATTTAGGGGAGTGGTTTTTGTCAAGGTCGCTGGCTGCAAAATCGCCTCAGCGTACATGCCACCCCCACCAAAACAAAAACAAACAAAAAACAGAGGGGATTCCCCCAGGCACGGCGCAGCTCCCACCGGCCGCATTTGCTCAATGGCTCAGGCCCGAAATTGCGGAACCATGGGATCAGGACAAACCGAGTATCCGGAGGGATTATTTCGCTGATGGATTTGGTTCTTGGGTATTGGGTTTGCTGGGTTCCAGTTGGAGGCTCCGAAAGCGCGAATTGGCAAGATGCACCCGGCGGAGGCTTGCACCCGCCGGGCCCCTCCGGACTGTTGGTGTTGTTGGCGCCATCTCGAATCAAAGCCCAAGCCTTTGGAACATTTCGGAGATTTATGTCAACTTCAGTCGGAGTTCTGAAGCGAGGCGCGTCCAAGCCAAATCTGGACGAATGTTGACCCAGGATTAATAAACCCCTCCCATTACTGGGGGGGTGTTGCCTCCAAAAGTGCTCTGAATCTGGAATTGGACACCCCCCAATCAAAATCAACCAGGGGTTCTACTTACTCCGGGGTTAACATTAGCTTCTCTCCGGCGGGAGGAGCTGGAGCCATGCAACTTGGTTTCTGGGGTGCGGACTGACACGCGGGAGTTGTCCACGTTTCCGACCTCAGGGGGCAGCACTGTTTCCAGGGCGCCGGACGTCCAACGCGACGTCCAACGCGACGTCCAACGCGACATCCAATACAAAAGCACAACTTGTTGCGGTGTGCTGCTTGAAAACGGTAAAAATGATGGACACCGAGAAAGGCAGAAAGCTGAGAAAAGCCAAGCCATCCATTCACCTGACAATGGAAAGGCCGAATACCATCCACGAGGATTTGGGGAAAACACCCAGCCCGACGCGTCCGAATCCGAATGCAGCTGGGCTTGGCGCCAGCTGCGCCTGCCGCGCCAGGCCCGCCTGCCGCATTGGGTGCATGCTGCAGCGAGTCAAAAGTGGTGCTCCTTGCCCTAGTCAACTAGTGGGAAAGCTTGGGATACAAAAGCTGGGAGGCCCTAGTAAATGGGCTTGGGATACAAAAACTGGGCCCTAGTAACTGGCCTAGGCACTAAAACCTGCGCTCCGATTCCTGGTTTGCCGCCCTTCGCCCCTTGCACCGCGCCTCCAATATCCGCACCTCGCACAAAGCGTCCAAGAGCTGGCGCCGGAGCCGCACCTGTCTCAAGAAGGCGGGCCACACTTTGAACGCCCAAACAGAAACGTCCTGAAATGGGAAACGTTCCGCGGCAGCAGTCCTCCATTTTCCACTGGAGTGGAACCAAAGTCATAGCCTGGGTTGCTCAAAAAAAAAAAAAAACACATCCATCCCCCGTTGGCACAGGGGCAAAGACCCCTTCCTGGCCCAAAGCAACCAGCCAAAAAAGAAGAACTCGCCCCAAATCAAATCGGAACCTTCACAGATCAGCGCGTTTCAGTCAAGTCAGTCTTTGAACAGCCCAGGTCCCTAGCTGGCGGAAGAATCCCCGCCAGGTGAAAAACTCTCGCCGCGGCGTCACTCGGCTTCGGAGGTGGCGCCTCCCGGAACGCAGGGCAGGCGGCGCAGTGCAAGGAATGGTCAATCAAGGTGTCTCTTGTGTCTCTGCTGTATGTGTGTGTGTGTGTGTGTCTCTGTCTCTGCGTGTCTCTGTGTCACTTGACACAGAAGACGGCAATGGAAGCAAGCAGCACACGCTCACCAGACATGGTTGCTTGTCGACCCCAGTGCTATCCTGGGCATCCAAGGGAACTGGAAGGGAAAAGCCGATTTGGAGATCATGATGACGACAATGATGATGACCCTGATGACGCGGATGCAGTGACGGCAATGATGTTGTTCATGAAGTTCATGACGCAGGTAACGGTGGTGATCATGGCGTGGACGAGGTTTTCAAGGTTTGACGTTGGTGACGTTGGCGATGGTGGTGAGGCAGTAAGTGGCCACTCTGGCGGCTGGTGGCCACAGTGCCTGAAACCAACTCCCCCCCCCTCCCCCACTCCCCCCTCCGCCCCCCCCCACTCCCCCCCTCCACCTCCCCCAGCCTGGCAGCTGGTTCCGCAGCGTCTCCGTCTCCGGGCTCTGTGGAAGGCGTCGCGGCTTGGGGCGGGGCGTGTCTTCGCCTCTCGATCGCCCCAGCTCTTGCCAACGGACAGGCAGGTTAGTGGTCCCGAACCCCAAAGTGACGTATCCCGGACCCCCATTTTTTTGGCAAATTTTGGGGGGGATGTTTAGAGCGGCTTCGCAAATCCCAAAATTTCATTCGATATAAAATATAATGCTAAGTATCATTTCCCTTTTTCGCTTAGGGGGTCAGGTTCATCATCCCCTTCGTTTCCTTCGGTTCCTTCCCAAGACCCGTCAAGGCTCGTCCTACCGTCACGCATCCCAACCTCAAATCACTATTGAAAAGCCATTCAACAAGATCGTCAAAAACAAACGCACTTCTTGACCGCCGAGGTTCAACTCTTGATCTCCAGCAGGAGGAGATCCACGCTGTTTTTGTTCATAGGCTTTATTTTTTGGCAACAGTCGTTCCATTTCTGAAAAGGCTATTAAACTACTAGTTTTAACGTTGTTTCTTAAGTGTCTTCCTCCCCCTCCTGATCCTCCCGGTCCGGGGAAGTGCTGTAGGAAGGTCTTCTCGAGACCGGCCAGGCAGCTGTTCACCGTGTCCAGGCTCGTCTGGCACGCCTCTTGCAAAGCTTTGCGCCCCTTCCTTCCCAGAACACGTTTGTGGCTGAATCTCTGTTGATTCACTGAGAACCTGCAAGATGTGGGCACGGTTCAAAAATAAAGAAGTCTTCAACTTGTGGTGTCCCTTCTTAACCAACCTGAAAATTGTGAATTGAAACCAACCTGAACATGGTTGCCCCAGCGAAACCCAGTGCTTCCAGGCAAGCCTTCCGTAGCTACGGGAAAACCAACATTAAAACCTAACAGGTAGCCATGCCGAAGGGTTATCTACAATGGTAACTGGAAGCTTTTTGGGGGACCAAAAAATATATGTGGATTTCTTTTTGGTTCCCTTTAAAGTCAACCAAAAAGGCGTTCACGTAGTTGAGCCATAATAGCCTAGAACCATGCTAGCGGATCTCCGCACCCATGTCTGGTTGGGAGTATCCCTGTCTTGACTTGCTAGTTCTCAGCAGGGGGTGAGAAATGGAATGACCCCTGTTTCACCGTCCCCTTATGATTCCCACCGGTTCATTCGAATCCACCCGGAGTCGGAGTTGGTCATTCCATACCTATCCTTTTAGGGGACCCCCAGAATTGGTGGTTTTCCTTTCGGTTTCCCTGTTAAACCACCAAACAAGCCTGCTGCTGGCGCTCAGTAGGGAATGAGGGAATGAACCTGCAAATTCCCTTAAAGGAAACCACCAGTTGGATGGTTTCTAAACCTCATTCCATTTCTCATTCCCTACCTATCACACCAGCAAGCCAAGGGCTACCAAAAGCGGACCTGGCCCACGTGGGTGTGGGTCAAAAATCGGTACCTAACATGGCTGGCCCTGGTAAATGGGGAAACATAGGCTAAAAACCTGCGGTCCGATTCCTGGTGGTTTATTTGTTTGACTCTTTGACCCATACCCTCCCATCCACCAACGGGGAACCTGACTCCCGGAAGACCTTGTTCCCTTGAAATGGACCCTCTGGTGGGTTCCCTTGTGGATGGGAAATCATCCAACTGGAGTTGCTTCATTGTTATCCAACATGATTCATTTCTCATTTGGACGATTCATTCTTCATTTGGAGGATTCATTTTCATTTGCAGGACGTATTTCTTATTTCCTACTTCATTTGGAGTACCCCCCTCCCCTCCCCAAAAAAATATATAACGAAACCATTCGCCCCACCGAACCACCGAACCACCGAACCACCGAACCACCGCCACCCGACCCGCCGCTACCCCGACGTCCGGGGAACACCCGGCCTCGAGGCGCAGCTCCGCCTGCTGCAGCCGCTGCTCCAGCTGCAGCTTCTGCTGCCAGGTGCCCAGCCGCGGCGGCCGCGCCGCCGCCTGCGGTGCCGCGGTGCCCGCAGACCAAGAGACGAGGGGGGCGAGGCGCGGCTGCGCTCTAAGCCCTGCCAATCAAACCTACATGGGGGTACGTGTTATTCAGAAAAGGTGCTCCAGTAGAGAGCGGATAGAATAAGGGCACCAACTTCTTTTCTGTGGTCTATTTTAGTAGGGGAAGCCCCCCAAGAAAAAAAAAAAGCTCAGCGATATCCCCAACAGCCCCCGCAGCCCTCGCAGAACCTCGTGAAACCCTCGTGGTGGAACCCTGGTGGAACCCTGGTGGAACCCAGGGCCACCCCGGACCAGCCCACAGCCTATCTGGGCTGAGACCCCAAAGCTTTCAGCTGTTGGGAGAAAAAAAGAGGGTAAAAGCGCACTACGACCCAGTATTTGTTTTATTTGTTTGGCATAGATATCATATTGACCAGAAACAAACAAGGTACCCTCCCACCAATGAACAGCCAAAAACTTGACGCTCTTTTGGGGACCATGTTCCTTTCAAAGGGACCAAGTCCCCAACGTCAGGTTTTATGTTCATTGGTGGGCGAGGGTAAGAGAACCGCTTTTGGGGGTGTTGTTTTGAATGGAAACCGCATTCTGGGACCTGTGCCGTTTTAAGGGAGCCCGCTTTTTCCCCAGCTATGGGGTCTCTGCCAAAGGAAATATATGAACAAATAAATTACCATGAAAAGATAAACAAACATAAATGAATCAACACATAAGCAAAACAAAAATCAAAAACACAACCAAATACCAACTAAAAATGTATACATTTATATATATATATATATGTATATATATATATATATGTGTGTGTGTGTGTATACCGCGCCTGCGCCTCCCAGCCCTCCACCCGCTGCTCCAAGAGCTGCAAGCTCTCCCCCTCGCCGGAACGAGCAGAGCCAAAGCCCGAGCGAATGCCGAAAGCCGGGAGGGAACCCGGCGGAGCTCACTTTTCGAACGCAGCGGCGTGGCCCCCAAGAAACTTCCGTCCGTTGAAACTCGTCTGTCAAGGACCAAACAACCAAGTCCTCCAGAAGGACTCAAATTCAGTCCTCCAGAAGGATTTTTTCCAAATCAGGCTCTCAAATTCAGAGTCGAGGTCCGAAAAGGATTTTGTTTAACAAAGTCCAGCCACTTTTCATGGTCCAACCCCGCCCCCCCCCCCCCCAAAAAAAAAAAAAAGAAGAGTAGGTTATGAAGTCCAGGACCTCAGGAAGTGAGTGAGGGAGGCAGAATTGGGCAAGCTCACCGATGTTGAGGTGCCCCCGTAGAGGGGTCAAACCTCTGGATTGGTTTGAACCATCGAAAGGTTGCACTTCCAGCTGGCGCGGTCGCATGTACAGCTGGGGTCTGGCGAATTGAATTTGAGACCTTGCAGCTCGGATCTCTCCAAAGCGCCTCAGTGGATCCGGACCGCCCCTTGGGTCAAATGAACCAGAAGGCCTGCTGATGTTCGTACCCCTCTCGCCTTTTTTGGGGCATGTACCCCTTTTTGAGCGGGTTGGAAACCAGGGAAGCCAAGCGGTATGAACCAGGGGTGTGTAGTTCCACCCTTAGATCAGTGACTCCAAGATGCTCACATTCGTGTCCCGCCTGCTGCTGGACTGCTAGCGCCTGCTCCCGCATCTGCGACTGCCTTGCTCGATTTGCTCGGCTCACTGCGAAACACCGACCAGACTTTTGTTTTTGGGACCCCGTGTGGATTGGTTTCACAGGGAGCGGAATCCGTTTTGAAGCCTCAAAACGAACACCCCCAATTCAAGCCTGACTCGCAGCTTCCAAAGGCCAGGCGTCTACCTCATACCTCGGTGCGTCCGGGCGGCAGCTCCTTCAAACGGGACTCCACATTCATCCGCTCGAAGCGCTCCACCATGCAGCCTGGCGCTTCAGAAGCCAGGCGAGGCCGGCCCAGAGTGGAGGCCCAAAGTGGAAGCCACGCGACTGTGGGCTTCGGAGAGGGGGGGTGGCTTGCGCCATCTGACTGTGGGTTTGCGTCTGGGCCGGGAATGATGCAAACTTGCCGCTCTGATGGCATGCGATCAACCAACAACAGATTGGCATTCCGCACCTCAAAGGGTGACAAGTGGCAGACATGAGAGACGCAGCCAAGCTGCGGTAGTGCTCTTCTTTGGCATCTTGCCAGGCTCTCATGTGATAA